GTCTACGTACGTTATACCGTTATGTATGTACGAATTTAGCTTAGGCGTGAAATAAATTTTGTGTAACATTATGCAATATAAATTTACCGATTCATGTCACGTGATAGGGTGTTATATAACACGGTGTTATAAATATAATTTTCCTAAATTTTAATAATTACAATAATTTAATTACTTGAATCTAGTAGTTATTGCTAATGTAGAATCTAGTTATTTTTTCTTAAAAAAAAATAAAAAAATCCAAATTTTAACAATTTATTAGATTATATGTATAAAATCCTTCATATTAAAACTAAAATTACTTGCTAACAATAAATAATAATAAGCAAAATAATATGTAATTAAATAATATAAATAAATTTTAAAAAAAATAGTTAATTGTGATAAGTAAAAAATACACAAAATTCAAACTTATTTTCAACAGTTTCGACACCTTTTGGCAGTTTTTTAGTTTTATTTATTAGAATTTTAACTGACAAACTTAAACCCAGTCTTGACTTTTCTCAATATTAAAACCTTTAAGTTTCATCTAACAACTATAATTTAGACTCGCTTACTAGAGATCTAATTAAAAAAAAAAAGTGCTAAAACTTTTTTATTTTAGACGTTCTTATACAATATAAGCAACAACTAAATGAAAAACCTGTTTTATAGTTAACCATCATGATTATTCCTCTGATTTCGTAATTATTTTGACTTTATATAGAATGAAAGGTGTAGTTTTTGAATATGTATTCAGTTCCTCTGAACAATTCATATTCATGGCAGACAATTCGTTTAAAGTCAGATGATATATGCGATGTATATATGAGTATATGAGAGTGAAAACTTGGAAATAAATTATTATACCGAATTTGATCCCTGAGGACAATCAGTGTTCTAGTAGTTTTGGTGACACAATATAATAAAATACATCTCTACATCTAACGTTAACAATTTTTGAGATTGTATTAGTAGCTTAAATTATTTTATATTATTTTGTTCTTAATTTATATACAGCTATATTAATTAATTCATTCTTTTTTTTATTTTGTTTTGTTGTGCCTTTTTTGCACAGACCCTTTTCTGATTTCCAACCCTTTCAATTAAATCATTACTTGGTTTTAAGCAAAATTTGTCACGGTAAACAATAGGACAATATGGGCAAATATTGTTCTAAAGGGCAACTTGTTTTTCTTCCAAAAGACCTTTTGGCACAAGCTCTTGAGAATTTAGACTTCTAGTATTGGTATTTGGTTTGAATAATTGAAATTCGTCCTATGGATCAGTAGCCTTAATTTTAGCTTTTATTATACTGAAAGTTTCACTGCTAAACTGGAAAAAATAGTACTTTTGAATTGCTGGAGGTTTACAGTACAATAAGCTAAGTGCTGAAGTCTAATCACAGAATAGTTCTATTTGATCCTCTAAGCTTACAGAAAAATGATTACTTATACTTCTATTTATTACTTCAACTAATTGGTCAATGCACCAAACTTCTGATCTGGCATATTCTCTTTTAGTATTACCAAATTCTCAATCAACAGAATTTTGAGTATGCTTTTTGATCTGGAAGCAATATTCGATCTTTTGAAATATTTGAATATGACAAGCCCATAGAAAATACCATAAAAGACACAAGTTTTTATTTTGTTCACCGCAATTATCTGCTATAATCTAATTTTATTTTATTTATTATATTGTATTTAAGTATAATTTGAGTGCATGAAAATAAAAACCTGAAAACCGATCATGTAAATTATTAAATCAGTTTTCAGGTTTTCACTCTCATGTACTCATTTATTTATGATTATTAAATGTAAAAAAGATCGATTAATATATATCTAATTTCATTTACTTTACTTACAACAGAAGTTAAAAATAGATGCACTATAAATGTAACTTTATTAGCCCCTTTTACTGCTTTTGCTTCTATATAAAGAAAATGCTAATAATGGTCAATATCTTCTTCCACTAATCCAAATTGGTGTACTTTTAATAATGATGAATAATACCACCTTTCTGGTTGTTGAGGATCATGAGGTAGCTCAATGTTTTGAGCGAAATCAAAAGACAAAACATGAAATGCAGATCGATCAGACTTTTTTGCCATTTGAATATTATTTTTATATGCTTCCCTCATAGCACGATATGTAGTAAATTGGTCATCAAGGTTTTCATTTATATTACTTCTTTCCTTTTAATGCATGTTTAAACAAGATACATTTGTTACATACATCTTTAGATAGTTTTCTAATAACAATCTTATTTAACTCTAGATCATCCTTCCATATTCTTCGAAAGCTCCAGCTACTTACAAAATTATCTGGATACATTAGATTATAAAAGACTAAAAGCTGATTATAGAAATAGTGAAATGGAAGAAAGACAAGATCATGCTTTTCATATTGTATTGTTATTTGTTTATCTGTTTTTTTACGTGCATATTTTCGAACAGCTAATACCTCACTCACCGTATTAATTACTAGTTAATCTAATAAAAGACTTTATTTTATTAACTGTTTTAACATGTAATTTAACAACAGATGAATGATTAGTATTTTCATAAAATAGGGGAAGTATAGATTGTTTTTCTTGAACTCATCCAAGAAGACAATAAAAAGCATCTTTACCATATAGCCAAAACATTTGAAAAAAAAGACTACAAACTTCACTGAAGTATAGTAGCTAATACTTGGTATTGAAAGATCTTTTGTATAGCCCTTTATCAAATGAAGATATACTATAAGTATTGTTATTGAGTAACGTTATTGTTTTTTGCTCATTTTAATACTTTCTAATGCTAAAGATTGTAACAGATCTAATGAAATTTATTTACTACAGTTCTTTTTACACAAACAACATGATTTAAGCTTGTTAACCAAGTTATCACAATGTCTTTCAAGAACTTCCTTTTCTACAGTTTCCTCACTATTCAAACCTAATTTTGATACAAATTGAACATCTTCTAGTATTTCCTTATCATCGTATTTTATTTTATCATCATCATTATCATCTGTTTTCTCTTTATCATATTCTATTTCATGAGGGATCAGGATAAGAGCAGTAGAAGTTTCAAAAAAATGCTCTAAATCTTCCAGGATTTCCATTAATAATTAAGAAAAAGTTAAAAAAATTAAATAATAATTATTTAACAATTTAGGCATTGTGGATTTTAGATGATTATAGTTGTAATATGAAAAGTTTTTATGTAATTATATATTTTGGGATTCTTTTTTTATATTTATTTTTATATATAATCGCTACTACTTTCACAGCTTTTGATTAATTTACTCTTAAAATTCTATTTAATTGAAGGGTGTTCTCAAGCATTTCTATCAATGAACTATATAAAGAGTCTTATTTAGGTAGGCTAATCAGATTCTTTATTATGTTCATTGAAGTAGTTTTAGCATTTACCAGATGTAATGCCACGTATCTATATTTGCATAATACAGATTTATGCATTTTTGCTTAGGAACATTTAACTAATTAGATGTTTTAAATCAATTGCCTAGTAACTAATTTATATAGTAATTCTTTTAGATGTAACAGAATTATTCATTTATTTAGATTGCTTGGAATAATATAAAGCTGGAGTTGACTATAAAAAATACATTATAGCATGAGTAATTTAAAGGATATTATGTAATAGTAGATAAGTATTTATACTTTGATTTGCGAACCAGTTTTGTTGATTTTAATTTAAATAATTAATAAACGATTTTATTTTCAAAAGATATTATGTAATGATAGGTACAGTAAGTATTTAGGCTCTTGATTTGTGAACCAATTTCGCTGATTTAAATCTAACAATCAATAAAAGGTCATTCATTCAGAGCTGAATAGAATGATTATCATAATTCAAAGAAAGTTTTATCACAAAATTCTGACATCCAAAATCTCAAAAACTCTGACGTGACAATTAATATTTAATGATTAGTAATCATATTAACAATCATTGTCAGACTTTAAATTTTTAATTGCTACATTGTGTAATGTCAGTATTATAGCCTGTTGAGATTTTGTATATTAGGATTTTGTGATAGAACTATTCAAAGTATTATGGAATTGTAAATAGGCATTTATGTTCTTGATTTTTAAACAAATTTTGCTGATTTTAATTCCAACAATTATTAAAAGGTCTTTATGTTCACTAACTGAATGAAATGATTAATGCAGATAAAATTATTCATAGAATATTACAGTAAATAAGAATTAATGTTCTTGATTGTGAACTAGTTTTATTAATTTGATTTTATTTTTATAGTCTAAATGAAATAATCTAAAGGGTATTATGGGATAGTAAATAAGTATTTATATTTTAATTTGTAAATCATTATATTTAGGGAATTGTTATTTCCACCATGGCAAATTGTTATTTCCACCATGGGTTATACAAAACAATATAAAAAATTATATTTTTAACAACTAATCAAATTTAAAAAAATAATTTTTTTAAAATTAAAGAAGTTTTTATTAAGTTAAGGTCTGTTAGGCTTCTAAATAAAGTTGTAGAAGAGATTTTTCTGGTTCTAATAATAGTTAAATCATCAAAATTGGCTTGGTAAATAAATTTCATTAGATCTGTTACAATCTTTAGCATTAGAAAGTATTAAAATGAGCAAAAAACAATA